TTTGAGAATTCTCAAAAACCAGCTCGTATTTATAAGCATTCACTGGAGCATCCCAATCCCAACATCTCACCCTCCTCGATCAACCTTTCAGCCTCTCAAATCGAGCTGTCACTCTCCCAACGCCTCAACCCCTTAATAATCATCTCACATCCCCTCATCCCCGCGTCTCCTCATCCTCTCATCCCCCCTCCCCCTCCTCCGCGTGTGTCCATCAGGCGTGCCAGAGGCCTTCCTCAAGGACCACGTGCACTACGTGCAGGGCGTGGCCTGGGACCCTCTCTCCCGCTTCCTCGTCACCTGCAGCGGCGACCGCACCTGCCGCGTCTACTCCCTACCCTCGCCCCCTCCCACCGCTGCTGCTGGTGCTGCTGCTGCTGGTGGTGGTAGTGGCGGGGGTGTTGGGGGTGCGGCAGGGGCTGGGGGAGGGGGAGCGAAGGGAGGGGGAGGGGGCGGGAAGCAGCAGAAGGCGGCAGGTTTGGTGCGGTGTGTGCATGTGATTCAGAAAAGGGATGTTCCCGCTGCTGCTGCTGCTGCTGTGGTGGCTGTTGCAGGGGGGGAGGAAGGGGGTGCGGGGGAGGCAAACGTTGGAGGAAGAGGAGGGGCAGGGGGAGGGGATGTAGAGGGTGGGAAAGAGAGAGGGGCGGAAGCAGTGGGTGCAGCAGTGGAGGGGGAGAGGAGAGGAGGAGGAGGGGAGGGTGGCGCAGCAATGGAGGTAGAGAATGGAGCAAAGGCAGACGGCCCGAGCAAGGTGGGTGAGGGAGTGTCTGTTTGGGAGGGGAGGGGTTAGCTTGTTGGGTGGTGCGGAGACTGCAAGCAATTGATGAGACAAGCACAGAGAGAAGCAGACAGGCTTGCATACGCACCCACACATGGATGAAGGAGTGCACACATACCCACACGCACACAGGCACACGTGCATGCTCGCTCACATGCTCACAATCACACAAGCACAGGTACGCATGCACACGGATACGACCACAAGCTTGATCACTTATGGCCACACTACAGCCATTCTGATCCCCTGTTAAACCCTCTCCCTCTCTCTCCCCCTCTTTCCCCCCTCTCTCCACCTCTCTCCCCTTCCCCCCGGATTTCTCCACCCCACCCACTTTCGCTCCCCCCTCTCTGCGCCCCTCGTACCACCAGGCGGTGCGCGTGCATCTGTTCCACGATGAGAACATGCCCTCCTTCTTTGAAGCGACTCAAAACCCACAATTACAAGCACGGCCACCCACGGGGCTCAGCCACTCCCACTAATCCCCGTCTCTGAATCTTCCTTGCCCCCTCTCTCCGCGCCTCTCCGCCCACCAGGCGGTGCGCGTGCATCTGTTCCACGACGAGAACATGCCCTCCTTCTTCCGCCGCCTCGCCTGGTCACCTGATGGCGCCATGCTCCTCATCCCTGCCGGTCCGCCTCTGCTCTCCTCGCCTCGCCTCGCTCAACCCCCAATTGTCTCTCCTTGCCTGTCAACCTTCCTCTCCCCTTCTTCTTGCTCATGCGCACTAGGATACGATGGGTTTCTCTGCATCGCGAGTGGCCTTCCATACTGTCTTCACCCACTTTCTACAAGTCGCAATAGTTTGCCTTCACTGCACTTGCTGTCACTTTAGCACCCTCTGCCACCCATCTTTCTCCCCAGCCCCCTTTTTTCCGTCACCACACCGCCCCTCGCTTCTCTCTTCCTTGGTTCTGTCACTCCGCTTTCCCTCTAATTCCATTCTTTCGCCGTCCCTGTATTCTTACGTGGTTAGTTCTTCTTGGTTTATGGTTGTCGTATGTGTGTTTTTGCGGGGGCAGTTTGGGTGGGTGCTTGTGGGTGCACGTGGATGTGTGTGAGCGAGGTAGTGTGTTTCAGGACTTGCATATAAGTGCGTCTTTTTTGTCTGTCTGTCTGTTTGCGTGTGTTTGCAAACAGTAAAGCCTCACATGCCATGCCACGCCATGCCATCTCGGCTCATCTGATCTCACTTCATTGCATCTCCTGTCGTCCATCATCCATCCATAATACATCCACCCATCCACCCATTCCTCCATCCATGCATGCAGGGGTATGGAAGGCATCACCATCAGCCCAACCCACCAACACGTGCTACGTCTTCTCTCGATCAGACCTCACCAAGTATTGCCTTGCTCCTCCTGCTTTCCTTTTTTCCAAAATTCTCCTTGAGAATATTTTCTTACCAATTTTCTACTTACCAGAATGCATAGTTGCATGCTACATGTGCACCAACCCTCCTCTCTCCTCGTAATCCCTCTACCCCACTTTCAAGCCCCCATTCCTCTCTCACGCGTCTCTCTCTTTCTCGTTTCTTCCCCTCCCCTTTTCCATTCCAATCCCCCGTGACCCTCCTTTCCACCCGTGTCTCGCCATTCACCTGGCTTGCCCATGTCCACTGCACCCCTCCCCTCCTTTCTTCTCTCCTCATACCATCACTCCCCTCGCTCCTCTTCTGCCTCCCCCTCCACAATCAATACTTCTCCACATCTCCTCCCCTTCACCGTTAGACACCACACCATCGGGCCGCTTATGTACCTGCAGCCCCTCATCTCCCCTCCTCCTGCTCCCCGCCCTCCTCCTCCCGCTACCCTCCTCCCTTACCTCCCCTCCCCTTCCCACGACCACCTTGTCCCCCGTCCGCTCAGCTCACTTCTTTCCACAACACACCTGCATCGTCACCCACCCAACCACGTTCATCATCCCGCCCTCCCCTCCTCCCACCTTCGCATAGCCACCTTGTAGCCCTAACCCTTCCTTTCTCCGCACCCACTGCACTCTAGCCGTACCTGTGACAAGCAACCCTCTTCGCTTCCTCATCCCTCCCCACTCCCCACTCCCCTCCTCCCTCTCCTCCCCTCATCACTCCCGTGTGCACCCATCCCATCCCCTGCCCACAGGCCCATCATGCACCTGCCATCGCTCAACAAGCCGCTAGTGGCTGTGCGCTTCTGCCCTGTCTTCTTCCACCCCTCCTCGCCCACCCACTCGCCTGCACTGGCGCTGCCTGTACAAGTCCCTGACGCCGCAGCACCCACTGCTGCTGGTGCTAGTGGGGATAAGGAGGATGCGCAACAAGGTAATGAGTCTGACTGGGTGGGGAGTGTGTGCTGACTACAATCAGAGCCTTCGATTTTGTTCCTATTTTTCTTCCCTGTGTCTCGATTTTTCTTTCTCTTCGTTCTCCCTACCTGCCCCGCTCTTCTTTTCTCGGCTGCCTCCTCCTTCCTGCATAGCATAATATCTCCTCCTCCCCAACGTTTTTTCTGTTTGTATATCTCGTCCTGTTTCGTTCTCTTTCCTTCTCTGCTTCACGACACCGTTCTTTCCTTCTCCGCTCCAAAAGCGCAAACTCATCAACCCCTCTTCATTCGTTCCCAATCCACCCCCTGTTCTTCCCACCACCACCATTATTCCCCCCTCCATCCTCATACCTCACTTGCTCCCCGTTCCCCCACTCACACCAGACCAGCACCAGCAACAGCAGGCCACACCATCACCAACTCCCCCCCACCTCCTCCACCTCCCCCGTGCCTCCCTCCCCCCCCCGCTACCCGTGTCACTGCCATACCGCATGGTGTATGCGGTAGCCTCAACCAACAATATATGCCTGTACAGCATTTGAGACATCTCAAAAGTCAGTAGCATTAACCAGCTCAGTCGGTGTGCCTCTACAACACTGCCAGCCACGTTTCTCTATCTTTTCCAACCCCTCTTCGTTCCTTCCCACCCCTTCTTGATCCCCATTCCTCACTTGTTCCCCTGCCATTCCCACTCACATCAGACCGGCACCAGCAGCAGCAGAACACACCACCATCCCCCGCGTACCCCTCCCCGCTACCCGTGTCGCTACCATACCGCATGGTGTATGCTGTAGCCTCTACCAACTCGGTCTGTCTGTACGACACTGCCACGCCGCGCCCCCTCGCCCTGCTTGGCGGCCTGCACTACGCTGCCATCACGGACCTCGCATGGTGAGCGCAGTACACATGCAGCCGTTTCGGCCGCTCTCCTCACTAGTGCACATGCAGCATGTATGCAGCACACTGCCACGCCCTGCCCCTTCGCGCTGCTTGGCGGCCTGCACTATGCCGCCATCACGGACCTCGCATGGTGAGCGCAGCACGAGCAGTCGTTTCAGTCTACTCACTAGCACAGCACACTGCCACGCCGCGCCCCCTCGCCCTGCTGCTTGCCATCCTGCGCTATGCTGCCATTGCGAGTCTTGCATGGTGAGCGCACAACCACACGTGCAGCACTCATGCTGCGGTTGGGAAGAGAGAGGAGCTGGGCAGTGCGGGGTTGAGCGGCCTGCTGGCCTGCACTATGCTGCTATCACGGACATTGCACGGTGCACCAGCACACATACAGCGCACATGCAGCACTCATGCAGGTGGGGGGAAGGGAGGGCTTGGGTAGCGTGGGGCTGAGCTGAACGGTGTGCTTGCCCCTGCATTGTGCTGCCATGTCATCACATACCTCGCGTGATCTTCGTGATGAGGTGGGCTGGCACGAGAGCAAGGTGGGTAACATCCGGTGCCTCGCATGCTTGTCTGTGCACTTTTCTCCCGTCCCGTTTTCAAAGCCTTGAGTCCTCCCTTCCCTTCTCGTCGCTTCTCCTCCCTTCCCCTCCCTTCCCCTCCCTTCCCCACCCTTCCCCTCCCTTCCCTTCCCCTCCCCTCCCATTCCCTCCCCTCCCCTGTCCTCCCCTCCCCTCCCCTCACCTGCCCTCTCCTCCCCTCCCTCCCTTCCGTCCCGCCTCTCCCTTCCTGCACATGGCATGGTGCGCACAAGAGCAGGGCACCGGATGGGCGGTGTCTGGTGGTGGCATCACAGGACGGCTACTGCACCATCGTCACCTTCGCCCCCACCGACCTCGGCACCCTCATGCTGCCCTCAGGTACTCACCCTTTCCTCTCGTCCCCATACTCAATCATACCTTTCACCCCCGCATAATCATCCAGTATATCCACCCCCATTCTCCCCTTCTCCTGCTGCATGCCCCTGCCCACCAATCGCCCCTGCTCCCATCGCTCGTGCGTCATGCTCCTTTCTTGCCTCTAACTGGTCCATGCCACAGCCGTCTGCCAACAAAGCCCGTCAATGATCCAACCCAATGCAGTTGCAGTTGCAGTCGCAGTCGCAGTCGCAGTCGCAGGTGCAGGTGCAGGTGCAGGTGCAGGTGCAGCGGTTGCAGCTGAGTGCTCACAGGTTTCCTAGTTGGCTTCAAAACCTGACTAATACTCTCTGCTCTGAGTTCCTTTGGGACGCCTTGAAATGAGGTCCCAAGAAAGGGTGTGCTCGTGCGACTTTTGAGGCGCCTCAAACAACCTTCAAGGGGCCTCAAATTCCTTCCCAAATTCCTTCTCAAATTCCGTCTCAAATTCCTTCTCAAATTCCTTCTCAAATTCCTTCTCAAATTCCTTTTCAAATTCCTTCTCAAATTCCTTCTCAAATTCCTTCTAGAATTCCTTCTGAGAATAAATTCCCAGGGCATCTGCTCACGACAGTGCATGGCGATGCGCCTCGGCCCCTGCACCTGCATTCCACCTAGCTCGTTTTGTCTTTTTACGCCATCTCCCCTTGCGCCATCTTCCCTTGCGCCATCTCCCCTTGCGCCATCTCCCCTTATCTCGAGTGTACCTTGGGGCACTCCTATTTTTCGCTGCCTTCACGTTTGTTCATGTTCTTCTCATCTCCAGCGCTCGTCACTCTTTCGCCCATGTACCCATCCATTCTGATGCTGTACCCCACCCACTCGCTTCCCCTCCCACCACCCCTCTCTCCCACCACCCCTCGCTCCCATGGCCCCTACGAGCAGACCTACCTACCCACATACGGGACTCCCTGCATCCTCTACATCCTCTCAAGCTCCTGCCTGCACCGCCTCTGCCCCCTGCTGCTGCCACTGACGCTCCCCGACCAAGCGCCGCTGCTGCTGCTGCTGCTGCCCCTGCCACTGCTGCTGTTGACCCTGCAACCGCTGCTGCCCCCGCCACACCTGCTGCTGTTGCCCCTGCTACTGTTGCTGCTGCTCCCGCTGCCGCTGCTGCTGCTGCTGCTGCTGCTGCTGCTGCTGCTGCTGCTGCTGCTGCTGCTGCTGCTGCTGCTGCTTCTCTTGCCACTGCTGCTGTTGCACCTGTAACTACTGCTGCTGCTCCTGCTGATGCTGCTGCTGTTTCTCCTGCCCTTGCTGCTGTTGACCATCCTACTGCTGGGGTTGTCCCTGTAACTTCATCTTTGGATCCTGCCACTGCATGTGCCACCGATTCTGATGTGACCCCTACTGCTGCACCATCTGCTCCTGGTACGGCTACTGTGGCTGCTGGTTTGACTGGTGTTGACGCTTCTGTCACTGTTGCCGATGCTCCTGCTGCCCCACCCTCTACTCATCTGCACGCCAGCCATCCAATGCTGGATGGTGAAGCAACCGCACCAGTAGCACCTGCAAGCATTCTCCCCACTTGTGCTGCATCCTTGCGTGCTTGTGAGGAGTCACAGAATGTTGCCGTGGGGGAGGGCGATAATGCTGCTGCTGGGACTGCTGCTGCTGCTGCTGCTGCTGCTGCTGCAGCTGCTGCGGGGGAGAGTGATGCTGCTGCAGTGGGGGACAGTGCAGCAGTTAGTGTGGGGCCCACTTATGCTGCTGCAGGGGGGGGCGATGCTGGTAATGCTGGTGGGCACAGAGAGAGTGATGCAAGTGCATGCGCCCCAGAGTTGGCTGGCAACGAGCCTAATGCAGACAATTCAGGAGCTGGTGATAAGCAGAATGCGCTTACTGAGACTGCTAATATGGATGATGGCAGGCAAGCGGGAGAGAACGGAAGTGTGGCACAGGTAGGGATGGCCGATGCAGGAGAAGGAAAGATGGAGCTGCTGCTGCAATCGCAACAGCTGCAAGAGGAGCAGCCTCTGGAGAGCAAAGGGGGAGCAGATGGAGAGGTCACAGCACCAGGGTGTGAAGAGGGCACGTGAGGAAGAGAGTGGAGAGGAGACACTGAAGGCAGTTAGAGGGGAGGGTAGTGAAGGGCGAGGAAATGCATGAAATGGGATGAGATGGGTTGGAATAAGATCGTTTGGGATGGGCTGGGGTCATGGATTCATGGGTTTGGTTTGGAGGGGCTAGGAAGGAGCATGGCAGGCCTGGGTGGTGTGATATTAGTGAGGCTTCTGTTTTGTGTCCTGCTGCTTCTGTGCTTCTGTCTCTATCCAGAAGCAGAAAGGATTGGACAATACATCTCCTACCTAGGTACCTTTGTAGTAGATTGATGTTCTCGAGCGAACAATACCGTATGAGATGCAGCACCGAATACCGGGTTGTTCTTATCTTTCCCAGAATTATCGAACGGTACCGCCGTACGAACTCGATCATCTCCAGGTCACGTACGCCCATGTGGCACCTCTCTGGCCACTTGTAGCAAAAGATTCGCCGGCGCATGGCAAGGCGACAGCGAAATACGGTAGTGGGAGGGGCAAATCTCGGCAAATTCTAAGTGGAAGTTCCGTGAAATTTCATGGAGGGAGAGATTCTCGTGATATCCTCCCGTACTTGCACCTACTCGTTAACAGCTATAATACCGTCATACCCCGGATATAAGCGCCCCATGGGGGGGCAATAATAAAACAAGTTTTTTTTTAAGGGGGTGGGCTTATAATCGGGTAAATTTATAAGCGCCGGCGTTTATAAAACGACATATATATTTTATATATTTTTAAACACCAAGCTGTAGATCTCGTACTTGCCTTTTTCAATCGAGTCGGGGTCGCCTGTGAAATTCTCGCGCGCGCTGGGAGATACACCCAATGGTATCGTTCTGTAGGCACTTGACGGGGGAGGGAGAAAGGAAATGGGAGCTTTCCGACGAGGGTTCTGACGGCGCTTTTCACCCCCTCGGCAAACATGCAAAAACCGAAATTTCCCCAGGAGGGATGGTAGTTTCCCAAAGGAAATGACGAAATGCTCGTCAAATTTCTCGCGCCCAACAAAAGGGTACTTCACGTCCCCGCTAAAGTGTACCATGGTATTTCGTGGGCTCAGGGTGCTTTGGACAAAAAAAGCACACCCCAACTCACACAAACCTCAACACGAAGGGATGGTAGTTGGGGTGTGTTTTTTATTACGATTTGGGTGGTGCCTCCATGGTAGGGTTAGTTCATGTCGAGGGATGCTTGTTTCGTGGGTGGAGGAGGGTGCTCCCACGCCCATCACTTCCCTCCCGTCACCGTCGCACTTCCCCCTGAAATGTGGGTGGCCGATGGCGGGGCGGAGGCGGACAGATTTGCCCGAGGAGGAAGGTGGCGAGGGAAAATAGGCACCTTCCTGGCCTTCGATTTCCCTGAGGGGAAATGACTGTTCTGCAAGCATTTCCCTTCGACTAGGTTCGGAAGGGAAATGACTGCCACGTCAGCTTTTCCGGGCTGACCGCCCTTTCGAACCTAAAATTGCAGAGGCACGCAGCTTCCTATTTTCCCTCCCCTTCCCTTTGTGATGCCTGCAGAACGATACCAATCTGACAGCTCCTGACAGCTTCTGACAGCTCCTGACAGCTCCTGCTGACTGGACCCGCATCCAGTGCAGGGTCCGAATGTGAAGGGAACCGAATCTGCAACACATCCGCCTGCTAAAGTAAAATCCGTTACAGCGTTTTGAACACATTTTATAACTTAAAGTTTACGTGCGCTCATAATAAAACAAGTTTTTTTCAGGGGGTGCGCTTATAATCGAGCACCGTGTTAAAATCGGAAGTGATGTTTCATTGATGGTGGTTGGGGTACAAGTAGCAAACCCTAACATACGTACCCCCTAAGACACATCTCACTACAGGCTACCAACATTTGACACACCCCCATAGCCTAAGTGAGGGGTGTCTAGCAAAACCAAAAGAGTACGGTCACAAGACCAGTCACAAAGAAACAAAGCTCAGGGTGGATCACAACGTCACCACAAACTCTGAGCACAAGCAACAATGGCCAC